CTATATAGACTTGATAAAATAAATAGTATATTATAGGGAATAGATCACTTTTAGGCTAATCCCCTTTTGTAATCGCATCTATTTAATACTCAGCCCCTGTGATAGGTGAATTTTTTAATTTCTAGTTTTGACTTTTAAAATTCCAGATTCCATAAATAGAACACAAAAGGAATATGAAAAGCTATTTTTAAGATAAGAGAGATCAGTGAATTTATATTTCATTGTTTCTATCTGGAGAGAAAATTACTGAGTAGAAGAGCAAACTCAGGTGATGTGTGTAAAAGGCAATTTATCCCCTTAGCACCGCAGCTAATGGATTTTTTTCTTTCTGTTTTAAAAAGCATGTTTTTTGGCGGTTGGAATTGTCTTGTTGTCTGATATCTCTCAGATGCACTGTCAATCATCTCTGAGCTTAAATGAGCTTTTGTTAAGACTATTAGTCCTGCAGAATCTCCCAACCCATCTGAGGGCCAATGTGGGGGAGCAAAAACATGAGCTTCCACTTTCCTTCCCTGCTTGTTTGTTCGGTATTCTTTAGTCAGACTCCTCTCCTTGCCACCAACAATTACAAAATTTTATTGCCAGATATATCACACACCCCCCATGCCATTTTGAAGGAAAATTCCAGCTAAACCTAGTTAATACTGCTCCCTAAATATTAATTTGAAGCTTACTTTTGCCCTTGTTTTTGTCATATCTTTTTCTCCTATGGGATTTTGAGAAACCCAGATATAATTCTTGAAATGCTTAATATTTTTCTGTTTGCTTACTCACATTTTGTTTTCTATTCCCAAAATTATGGGGAAAAAAATTATTCCTCATAAGAGATGTGGCTCAGAGAAGACAACAGTCCCCATCTCCCTCACCTTGGGGAGGGTTCGTGATACTGTCGTGCCCAGGACTTATGTTATACGACACTAACTTGCAATTATTTATTTTCATGCCTGGCTCTTAGGTCGTGAGGTCAGGAACCATGGTCTGCTTGCCTTGAATGCCTGGCATATCTCAAAAATATGTTTTTGAAAGAATGCTTGGCAGTCTAAGAGGGTAGAATAACCCCATGTTAGAATTTAGGCTCCACCACTTAAGTAACTTTGTGGTCTAGGGAAATCGCTTCCCTGTTTCTGTCCCTTTATTCCCTCACTGCACAATTGGATGACTTCTCTGCCCACCCAAAGGCACTGGCGTGGGGCTCAAATTGGCTAAGGCACATGAAAGGTCTTTCTATATTTTTCTCCATACAGAAAGTATTATTATTAGGTTCTTAACCTAGAAAGTTTCTTTGGTGCACTTTTAGAAAGACAAGTTTGCTTTTTCTGGGGGAATATCCCTGGCTCTGAAAACATTCATATAACTGACTTTTTGGGGTCTTCATGCTGTTACTTCTATAGCTGTTTCATGGTTCTTAAACATATTTTTAATACAATTTTCCAAGTTGTAAGACCATAATCTTAATGGACTAATCCAAAAACCTATTTAAAAAAGACTACTTTTAAGATGACCCAGTATCAGAATAATGATCTGATTGTACACATTCCATTGTTCTCTTAGAAACCAGAGGAAGCAGATCAGGACTTTAAGGTGTCAAGAGTGATGTTAAAAAAATTACTTAGTGTGACATAGCCTTGAATTCACCCAATGAAAATGGTGCTAAAATCAGATTTCGCATTTTGTCCGCACAGGGTTCTCTCTACGGCAGCTTTGCCACCAGCCAGATTAATGCAGGTGTTCATTAGCCAAGTCAAGTCAAATGTCAGCATGCTCACACTGTAAGCTTTTCTGTAGCACCTAGAACGGCATCAGGTGGGCAATAAACACCAAACATGCTTTGTGGTGGGAATGCCAATTAGCTCATGGGGTTCCCTGTGTTGATGGGAGAAAATATAGTATGATGGTTAAAAGAATGGGTTTTGATCTTACTCGAATCTGGGCTTACATGCTTACTTCCTTTTTAAAAATTTTACAACTTCTTAACCTCAATTATTCATATGTAATATAGATATACAAATACTTATATAACAGGCATAATAGGACTTTTTATGAGAATTAAATATAGGACATTGCTTAGCATAATGTAGGTGCTCAATGAAGGGTAGTTATGTGATCTGTAATAAGCAGTTATTTTATTAAGTAATAATGAAATTAATAACATTAAAATACCAATTATATTAATAATGAGGCTTACGTATGACAAATGTTGTCTTAAGAACTTGCAACTATTAACTTGTTTAATCAACACACACAGGTAGGGACTATTATTGTCCCAGGTTTACAACTGAGACTCAAAGTTTAGGTAAATTGCTTAAGGGAAAAGGCATACCAGGTTTTGAACTCAGGCAATTTGAGTCCAGAACCAGAGTTTTTAACCACCAATGCTATACCTCTGATGCCTTGTCACCCAATGATACTGTTATGGACCTAGTGTTTTAGTGAAATGAGTGGCAATTTTTTGGATGGTGCAGGAAAAAATAGTGTGTCTCATTATTGTGGCTTGTCATAGGTACCTACATTTGATACCCACAGAAGTTTATGTCCACTAGATGGCATTGCTGTTTTAACAAAATGAGAACTGAGTCACTACTTAACGATTAAGAGAACACTAAATATGGGAGTGATAGCCGGATAATCTAATAGCATCCCTAGACATCTGAAAGAAGAAGTATCCAAAGTTTAGGGAGGGTCTAGAGACATTCTAAAGACCAATGGTATCTTGAAATAATCAAAAAACATGTTAGTTCATTTTGGGTATCCCTGAATAGGAAATCTGGAGGAATTTTGAGGTTATCTAGTCCAAAGGCACTAGTCCAGGGGGGAATAGAGTGAAGACCAGAGAGGAAAGGTGACTTGCTAGAGTTACCAAACCTCATGGCTTTAGCTGTATTTTTTCCCCCATACTTCCTAGTGATTCTAAATTACAAGGAAACTGATTTTTGAGTTATTACAATACTTTATTTTTTGGTTAGGGGACAGAAGATTGCCAAACAATTGTGAGTTTTGTTAAGTTACATTTTATACATGTGTTCCAAATCAATAGCAGACTCTTGCACTTAGATATTAAGTAGGATAAAAATGAAAAGTGATGCTGATTTATTTTCTTCTTTTTTGTAACATGTTCTCTGGAAAACATTACGCAACTTCACTTAAAAGCACTGTCCCTATTGGTTGATGATATAGTCTGTGGATATTAAACTCGCAACAAGTAGCAGAGTAATGGATAAGCAAAAGCACTCTGGAATCAGACTGTCTGAGGTGGAACATGGCTCTGTCACTTATTAACCAAAAGACCCTGGAAAGGTCATGAGACAGCTCTAAGCCTCTGTTTTCCCATCTGTAAAATGGGAATAATATTTTTACCTATCTTAGAAGGTGCTTGTGAAAATTCAATGTATGTGAAGTGCCTGTGATATAGTTAAAAAGCAAGGTTAAGGAGAGCAATAATAATAAATAATTTTGTATTTTGGCCGATGTTTGGGTTTCTAGGTCTCTTAGATGTGACTGTTGTTACGGGTGTTTTATCAACAACCTTTTTACTCACTGTCACATCCTGAATTGCTACGAGAGAGAAATAACGTTTCAGGTTTTATAACTGTAATATTGCTTCTTCCTCAACCAGATGGTAGAAATAGCCAAGACACATATGGTATGTACTTCACCAAGTGTTCATATCAGCTTTATTTAAAACACTCGTAGGCTTTAGGCTCCTACTCACAGTGTAGACAGAGAAGGTGCCTGAGCACATGGTATACAAGCAGTATCAGCCAAGAGTTACTGTGCACTTGCTGAGTTCCAAACGTTGCTCTTGTTTTTCAAGTATTAACTCATTTAATTCTTACAACCATGTACTCTATGAACTAATACTTTTCTCTTTTTAAAGATCAGCAGTCAAAGAAAAAAAAAAAGAAAAGATGAGTAAACTGAGATTTAGAAACTTGCTGCAGCTCAAGTAATAAGCCACAGAGTTGTAGCTGAACTCAGGTAGCCTGGTTCTTAAACACTCTTGCTCTGCCATCAAACAGGGTGGGATATTAGGAAGACTCAGAGGTTCCTGAGCTCTGCATTGTTTTCTCCAGCATCCTGCACACTGCAGCAAAGCCTGGGGTAGTCATTGTTTGCTTAGGTGTTTTAGGCTACTGTTAACATGCAACTCTGTTACCCAGGAGGGTAATGTGTTAAACTTACATCAATATTTTTATGGTAATTAGTTAATGAAATCAAATGGTTAAACATTTAATAGGATCCTGAGTTTCAAAGGGTAAAACACATTTGCAACAGTCAGAAGAGAGTGTCCTAGGACAGGGCATCTTGAAGACCACTCCTCAGGAATCAATGGACATCACAGTAGAACAAGGAGTGGGTTGCTGATGCAAGTATGCCTGTGACTAGCCTTACTTTCCAGAGCTTCTTTGTTGCTCTTTGGTTCTGTAACCTTCCAGACTATACCCTCTTATTGCCAGTAATTCAGACTCTATTCCCGTGTAGAATTCTTGAATTCAGATTTACAAAAGGCTTAGAGGACTTCTGGACTACCCCTCTGCCTTTACTAAGAAACCGAGGCACCATTTGCTTACAATTTGTCCCCAGGTATCTTAGAGGGTGAGTTGGAGTTTTGTTCATTCAATTATTACATATCATTTCTATATCTCTTAGTTATTTCACATTAAATGGCACCACTTTGAATCCTTGTGAAAATTTTCCTGTTTATACCAATAACATTTTTCTTTCAGTGATGAATCCAAATTTAACAGATAGCATCTGTTTTTTACAGATAGCATATTTTTATTTATAATATCTTTCTTCCTTTGCTTGAGACAAACTTTTATGGGGCCAGAGAACAATGACATTTAGTAGAATGTATTTTAAAGTCAATTAGTTTTTTTTCACTAGAAGGCATGAATGCAAGCAATTCAACATAGACCTAAGGTAATGACCATACAAAATAGGACCAAGGCAACTTCAAGGCAGAAATTCCAAAACTGAGCTGGCAGGAGACTTCCACTTACCAATTTCAGTCATTGTTATCCCTGGTGCTAACTGCCCGTTGTTGAAAGAGCTATAGGTAAACAAGTTGGGTACGGAGGTGAGGTCATAGATGGGTTCTTGTTTTATCTGTTTGATTCCAGTCATGTCAAGTCCTGACTGATCAGGGGATGGCTGGCCGGAATCCACGTTGTAGTAACCCTCGGACTTGGGCAGGTCGATGACGTGTCCGTTGGCGTAAGTGCCGCCGGCCTCGCTGTTGAGGTTGCTCAGGCTGCTGCTGTACACCCTCGCCAGGGCTTCCGCCTCGCCGCTCTGCTGCTGCCGCTGCTCCTGCAGCCGCTGCTGGTGCTTCTGTACCTCCGCGTACAGGCTGTCCCTTTGCTTCTTGGACATCCTCCCGAACTTCACAGCTGGGTCGGAGAGAAAAGCAGAAAACCGCACTTGCGGTTATCATTTTCATTAACTGCCTCAAGCCCAAGGGGTCATGGATGATTGTCTGCTCAATATCAAATGCACAGACTCCTAGCACCATAGCCCAAGAGCCCAGACATTTGCACTCCGTCCATGGCGAAAGGTTCTATTCATGGGTGTCTGTACTGGTTTAGGTGCATAGCAAAAACTAAATCTAAGCTGGGAAGGAATATGAGAGTTTGTGTATTTCTTGTTGCCATGAAGTTAGAAAGCATATTTCCTTGTTCGTTTTTCACTTATGGGGAAAAAAAATCATTAAAAAACCTGACAATAGTACCTGCTATTAAAATATCAACCAAAACTCATTTTTAGTTCTCCCTCCTAAGCATTAGGATTACTAGATTGTTGGATAGAACCTTATTATTTCACTATTTTCTAAATAGTGCGTTGGGTAAGTACAGGGATGTGGGGCAGGGTGACAAACACAATTTTAAGTAGACCACATCATTTGCCTTCAGTAAGCTTTTGGGATCAAATGAAAAGGATCTTTGGAAAACAGCAATTTTGTACGTTCAATGGGCAATAAGTGAGCCAACAGGAACCCCTCCTCTCTCATTCTGCCATCCCCAAGTTTTATATTGTCCGTCTCTTCTGGCAAAATCCTTAGCCATCCTGAGGAAAAAGGAGGAAGAGTTTCTGTTAAGTGGTCAGAGAGTAATACGAGGATTCTTTCATTTGAATGCATTGTTTCTTAACTTACAGAGCTTAATCTCCTGAACTGTTATGGGTATTGACATTTTTTCACACAAGCTGTCAACTCCCATTTTAGGATATGAAAATCCTGAGTCAAGGGGCCACAGTGTCTGAATCATCAAGCAGTATGTCATTCAACTCAGAGTAGGAACTATGACAAGCTTGGAGGTTTCTGAGTTTCTACTTCCTCTTCTTTTGTGACATTGTGCCCAACACCTGTTGGTCTTGGGAACTCAGAGAATGTAGAAAGGATAAAGTGGAGAGTTGAAAGAGGTCCAATCCCTGATTCAGTCATGGGGGTTGATGAGAACAACTTCTGAGAATAACTAGAAGGTGAAGTGCTTACGAACTCTCCAGCATGAATCACCCACAGAAGAGATTCCCCCTGTGTAAGAGCTGCCATTTCACTCCCAATGTTCCTTCAGTATTTCTTTTCTCTTTCTGTTGGTTACAGAGCCACCAACTTTGATCTAAGCATCAGCTGTTGAGAATGAAGACCACATTTCCCAGCCTCTGTCACTGCCACATGTGGCTATGTGATTAAGTTCTGGGTAACTGCACACACTTGCAGGTGCTGGGCAGGCCATTCCCTCCCTCCTGCCTGCTGGACTGTGGATGTGAGGAAACGCGGAGCAGCCTAGACTCTTCCTCTTTCCCATTACTACTTCTAAAAAGCCAACATTTTTGTTTTCTGATGCAACCTAAGTTGGAAAACAAAGTGGTAATTATCTAGTAATTTCTCTGAATGAAGACGATTGATCTGGTTAATTCAGACCAAACTCCTCTTTCCATCTCAATTGTTATTTCTACAGGGTCTTGAACCATTTAGATCATTGTGTTTAACTTTGTGGAGGCACTGCCTTTATTAGACTCTGTTTCTCAAAGACAAATTTATTTGCTTACTAATTGATGGGGTATTTGTAGTTTGTTCATGGACAGAATTCTATAGTAACTTTTAGGGAAAATGTTCTCTGTACCTTTATACTATATCTTTGTAAATAATTTACTACATATAATTCTCCAGTGGGGGGGAAAAAAACTTTGTGTAAGAAAAACAGACCATAATACATTTGGGTTCAGGCAGAACGTTTTATTCCCCCACCAAAAAGTGATGTGACGTGCCTCTTGTTTGCTGACCCTCTGGTGCGTTCCTATAGGCTTAGAATAGCTCTTTGTTACAGAGCTGTGGTGCTGAATACCAAATTTGTATCTATTGCTATAGAATAAGATTTTTGTTTTGGCTCAAGTATACCTACTTTCTGAATTATTTTAGTAGAATAGTTTTGCATTTGTTACTTTAAAGTTTATAAGGAGAAAAAATGATAATGAAAAATTCTTCTACCATGAAGACAGAAATGTAATGTCTCTTTTTAAAGTCCTTTCCATTCCAGCCTTGCTTTAGATTTCTATATACTATATTTTGGTGAAATACACATTGTGGTGGATTGATTTTATTAATGGCCCTGATTTCTCTTACCTATTCCCATGTTACCCCCCACATAAGTTTGCAGCGCCCTTTTACCTCGGTGAGCATTCTTACCCCATCCCTTGACTCAGAGTAATATAGCCTGCTCTGGGCCCGTGGGGCATTGACATATATGACACGAACAGAGGCTTCCAAAGTGCTTGTGGGATTGAGTCTCTCCCCATGAAAAGGACATGCCTAACCCAGCTTGCTGGAGGATAAGGTACGTGAAGTAGAGTCAAGTCACCTCAGTCTTCCCAGACAAGGCCATCTATAATCAATAGAGGCATAGACTGACCTGCAGTTGATGGAGGATGAATCAATGAGCCCAGTCAAGACCCTGTATTTAACAATTTTAAGTTCACAATTATGCTGTTAACCATAGATCTCAAAATCAAAGCCAACAATGTCCAATAAGTATGCTGTCAAGACCTGTGCCCTGGTGAACATCTGAAACTCAATGGTGAGTAATTACGTGTTTTCCAAGAAATTAACTTTTCAGATCACTGAAGAAACTAAAATATTTCCAGAGAAACAACTTAAAGCCCCACTAGCTTTTGGAACTACCGGGCTTCATCTTAAATCACGGACTTTAGCGACAATTACTATAATACTATTTAGAATGAATTTTCCACTTATTTCAGAAATACCAAGGAGCCAGTGTTTTAGTTTTATGCCCCTTCCTATAATAAACATCGTGATATATTTGGGAAAAAGTATAGTACATCGCAAAAATAAACTGCCTGAACTTTCCTAACATATAAATAATTCCTTGTCACTATTTGTAAATACAAGGTACATACATTTATTGTATTCACAGGCCTATTTCAACAAAGGCTGTATTACTATTATATTTTCAAATATTAGCATTCTTCTTACCACTAAACATTAATCAGAATGGCACATATTTTAAATGTTTGCCCCTCTCAAACTTGAATTATTCTGTTAATGAGATTCACTTGAGTATAGAGGCAGTCTCTTGTTAAACTGCGAGCTCTCAAGAAAACCAGCACAATACTGTATACATTGCAAGTGCTTTATAAATATTCAGTGATGATAGCATTTGCTCATGATAAGCTCTTAACCCTCATTTTGATCCCACACTAGTAAGAACAGTTTTACACAAAATACTGAAAATCTTTTTAGATTTATTTGGATTGTGGGATTCTAAATGAAATGAAAGTTTTTGGAATCACAATGAAACAAAGTCATGTCTTCTTCAAACACTTTTACTTACTACCATGTGATAACTAGACACTTGTTTCTGGTTTCAAGATAACCCAATTGCAGACCTATCATTTATGACTTTTTATAGTCATTTTGGAAATTACTTTATATTGCTATTTTTGGTTATAAAGTTCTGTATGTTTATGTCTTGCTGCTTACTAAGGAAACTGGTCTTAATTTAACTCTTAAATTTCAGGGATGTGCCTTTTTAAAAATAGTGCTCTAAGTTTTGTAGAAAAAATCTGATTTAATCTACTCAATTCTATTCATAATTTAAAAATATTTTATCTCCTCCTCCTCCTCAAGTATCAGCCAGCAGAACCTCCTGTGATGACAGAATGTCCTCTGTGCTTTCCAATAGGATGGCTGCAGCCACATGTGGCTATTGAGCACTTGAAATGTGACCAGTGTGACTGGCAAACTGAATTTTAAACTACTTAATTTTAACTAACTTTTGAAGTTTAAGTAGTTACACTTGAAAACTCTACTGAATAACGCCATTCTGGGTGAGAAGCCTAATCTGGGAAACCAGCTCTTGTAGGGCAGCTTCTATTTTTTTGTAGAGGCATGTCATTAGACACCTGTTTGATTACTGAAAGGTGGGTGTTCTGTTTCCTTTTTGGAGCCCCAGTATCTTCCTACTGATGCCAAACATTTTTCTTTTTGTTTGTTTATTTGTAGTTGTATAGTTGGAAACAGCTTACATTGAAGATTCCTGCAAGTAACATTTCGAAGGGCCCAGTTAAAAAGAAAACAAAGTAAGATAGTGGAGAAGATGCAGTGGGCATGTACATGATATTAATTCACATGCACATATACATGCATACTTTCCCCTTATTATACACATAAACATATGGGTATGTATTCCAAGTGGATTTGATCTATAGGTTTTGCCTAAGCTAAATTTGAACAAATTTGTTATTGCCAAGTTTGTTGTCTGTTCATGTATTTGCCATGGCTAATAAACTACTATTGAAGTGGCAATTTAGGAGAGAATGTAAGTCCAGTGATTTCAACAGTTAAATCAATCTATCTACCAGGTGTCATGTTATTTTAGTGACCAGGTATGGTGGAGTAAACATTTCTTGGAGCCAGACATAATTGACAGAGAGAAAATGCAAATATCAAAATGAAGATGCTACTTATGTCTGGGGGAAAGTGGACGTAATGTATGTAGAAAGAAGTTATGTGTGAGGGCATTTTACCCTGGCTACTGGCACTACTGCTGAAACACTTTGAAAATAGTTTTAATTAGTAGAGGTAGTTAGAATAAACTAGCAGCAGGAGAAACATCACCTTTCTTTCTTGAGTCCTTACTAGACATAGCTAATCAACGATAATTTTAGGGCTTCCCAGTTCTTTAATACCCCACATTAGGCATTACTTATCAATCGGAAATAAAACTTATTTAGCTTCCTTTGTCTTAGTATGATTTATTTGGTGTAAGGTATCCTTTATATTGAGGTTCAGGCCGAACTTCCTCTATATAACATAGTAAAGAAGAATTTGTTTTCCCTTAGAGAGCATCTTTTCTTTTTTCCTTCTGCTAGAGCCTCTGCTCTTCATTGCCAACTGCCACACCCATTCTTGAGCATTTCCTATTATTAGTTTGACACAAGACATGCTCAGAAGGCATTTTGGAAGATGTTCCTGGCAGCCTCAGGATGGTTTCTGAACTGAATATTAAGATGGATCATTATCCTTAATCCTCAGCATCCTCAGATGCTGTACTTCTTTTGCTTGCATAGAGATTTATGTACTGCAGTAAATTTCTTCCCTCTGGAGAATAGATCGTGGCTCTATCCTTTGAGTGCCCTCCGCTCCCGCAACACATTTCTCTTATGTCTTGGGATCCAGACAATATTCTTTTGTGAGCCGATGTCACTGACTCTGCCTGGGACCATATGCTCATCGCTTGCTCATGATTCTCTTCACCAGCACAGACCCACAAGATCTGCACTCCCAAGAGATTACTTGCTTTTTTTGTAGGAAAAAGAAACAAAGAAAAATACCCATTGGCTTATTCTTTTTACACAATTATTAATGGGGTTTTTCAGATACTGTCAATTAATTCCTGCCTCTTCTATCACAGAAATAAAGTACAAAATTATTAACTCACATTGCCATAAAATTTTACTAAATAAATCTTGAAAACCACTTAACCCCCGTCCTCCATTCCTTCGCTCTAATTATGTGGAAGTACACTGTGCTGTAAGTTTACACTAGAAGTAAATTTATGTGGTTAGCAAGTCTAGAAAAACAAATAAACAAACAAAAAATCAGTTAGGCAATAAATAGAAAAGTTTTGGAAACTTACATCTCCACATCTCCGCACCTTTAGAAGCTGCCTGTAAACTAAAGGGCTCAAGGTCAGATTCTTCTTTTTCTTTCTTTTATATTTTTCCCAAATTTATCTCATTGGTATACTTTTGTGCAAGATAAGTTTAGGTGGGTTGAGAATTAGAGAAAAGATAGACCAAGATTCAAAATAAAACTATTTGGAGAATGCAAGCTAAGAAGTCACCAGTTTATGTGCCTAGATATCAGGATCTATGTGGAGTTGAACTTATCCAAATGACTAAAAGGCCCATGTTTAATTTAATAACTCATAAAATTCCTTTATACCAAGATACAGTACATACAAATTAAGCAATTTTTTAAAAATCTGGAAGCACTTATTTTCTCTTTTTTGATGGGAGTGGTTCCACACGACTTTGAACTTCATTAGAGGCAGTGCTTCATATAAAGAGAATAAGTATCACTGAACATGTCTTTCATTTTGAAGTGAGCTTACTCCAGTTATTAAATGTTTATTATATAATTTGTAACTTTAAGCATTGAAGTTATTTTTAAAAGTCATTAAGAGATTGGTTCTTTTCTTAGGCAACTGGAAAAGAATCTGTGCAATGATCAGAATTTAAAATGTACAGTTCTTTTTTCTTCTGTAAATATGTATTGTGAGAAATAAAATATGGCAGGACTATTGCTTTCATTAAAAAATAAAAGAGAGAATAAGTATCAGGGGCACTGTCTGTATCTCAGGCACTAGGTAAAAAGGAATGTTATGGTTCATTAAACAAACATTTGAGTGCCTGTTTTTGACCAGACTTTGAGGGTACAGTGGGACAAGACAGAAATGGCCCCAAGACTCAGGACCGCTCATAATCTGATACAAGGACACTGTGGCCAATGTAAATGGGGGAAATAATTAGTTTAGATGCATGTTAAATGAGGAAAAACCCCCCCTAGATGACATTCTTTGTTTTTTACTTGTACTCTTTTATCAGTCTAAGAAGTTCAGTTGTTGAGTCAAACCACCGATTGGGTTGGGCATGAAGGTAAGTGCACACTTGAGTCATATCCTTAGAAGGACACCACCTACACAGCCCTTCTAAGACTTGGACGCTGCAATTGCAGTTGGGATCTTCATCATGACTCAGAATAGTCTACATCCTTATCCGAGTAGCTGTGACCAGAATGGAGCTTCTGGGCTTCCTATAGAAACACGTTCTGGTTCTTAGCATCTCCACGTACTAAGCTACTTGTGGAGCTAGACATACCAAAGCAAACAAATGGTTCCAGTTCCCTCGGGCTTTCCAGTTTTAGCTCTGAAAATCTCACATCCCAGGAAGCCAACCTCTCATTTGCAGGCAAATCTGGACAGGTGGTCACCTTTCAATCTAGGCCAGTGTGGCTTTCACCTAAGCTAGTTTGCACAGGTTGCTTCATGAGCTACAGTGAAGTCTTTTCTTCGTGTTTCATAGGCAATACTATATTTTTATATGTTCTTACTTTTCCTCTTAATGCACTACTACCACACGCTTTTTTTTTCCTCATCTCCAATTCCCTTTGTCTAGAATTCTTCCAGAAGCTTAAATAGACTCCAACAAAGCAACCACTTGAAAGCCTTTATGTAAAAAAATAGGAAGGCAATGCTTTACCATCTCTTGACATTCCTAGGGCAAGACACTTCTGCAGTCGGCAGTGTTGGCAACGGTTTCGGTTGGTTCTGTCAATTAAACAGTTTCTCTGCCTTGGGCAGGAGTAAGAGGCATTGTTCTGCTGGCTCCTCCTAAAGAATCCCTAGAGGGAAAAAAGAGTGGGAAGGAAATAGGTTTATACAAATGGAAACAGAGACCATTAACATATACATTTGCTACGTTTTCTACAGTGAACATAAATGAATTTAGTTTTTAAAGTTCTTTGGATACCTCTGCTAGGACAGCTTACAGATGTTTCTGCTAGGGAAAATATGTACTATCTACAGAGATATGAAGGTATCATTCATTCATTCATTCACTCATCCATTCAATGTCTATTAAAGATGTTTGCGAGTTATGCTGTTCTATGCAAAGAAAAGCAGAGCAGAGTTCCTGCCTGCCCTAAAGAGCACTGAGAAAGGAGTGGCAGAGGGAAGTGTCACTGTAAGCCAAAACTGGATGGGAAATATAACACAGGCTTATGTCAAGTGCTGTGGGGGTGAGAGACTTGGGGTATTGGTTACAATAACAGTACTGAGGAGTTCGGGCTCAGTATGTGCCGCTATCTTCCTACTTTTTAAGATGCATTTTTGTTGATTTGAAAAATTTTGAATTTGGCCAGAATGCATCTGGAAGGTTGTTTTTTGAACCAGTGATGTACCTTACAATCAATCACATCTTTGAATAAGAAAATATGGTATATAAACTATTCAATAAAAAACAAGCAATAACTAAAACCTGAACTAATAATGCTTGGCCTCAGGGCTATAGTGATGCAGCAGGTTTTCATGTAAATAAGTTTGGGTCCTTCTGGTACAAAATGAACTGCCATGAACAATATATTACCCTTCTGAATAAACCCACAGCTGAGTTTATTATGTTTTTAATCTTCGGATACTCTTTGCCTTAATTGTCTTACAGAAAACCCTACTGGGAAAAATAAATATCCTCTCCAGAGATATGAAAGTATATCATTCACCCATTTAATCAGTTTCCCTAATCATCCTTCTATTTTTTTATTTAGAAATTTAAACAATATATTTATTGATTTTAGAGAGACAGAGGGGGAGAAAGAGAGAGAGAAATATCGATGTCAGAGAGAAACATCCATTGGTTGCCACCCATAAGTAAGTGCCTGATTAGGGATCAAACCCACAATCTAGGTATATGCCCTGACCCAGAAATTGAAGCTACAGCCTATTGGTGTATGGGACGATGCTCCAACCAACTGAGCCACAAACATCAGGGCACCTGATCACTTTTTACTCTTGAATTACAATACGGAAAAAAGAGCAAAGTGCTATGAACAAAGTGGTCTACGGATTTGCCAAGGTAAATTTGGAAAGATAACCCACAGTAACATCTTTTGCAAGAGGAAAACTAGAAAATTTCTGGGTGGTAAGCTCAATATCCATCTTGCTGAGAGGCCTGGAATAGGTCACTGGATTTCCTTTTGCTTCTGTGTTTCCTCAACTATCAACAGGAGACAGAGTGGGACTGGAATAAGGGTGAGGTTAGAGCGGCAATCATCTTGGGCGTAAAATTTAAGGGTTGCCAAAAGACTTGGTAATCAGGATAAATAATATTTAACACGATATGTTAAATATTAACACTAACGCAAAAAACTTCCAGGAGTTTGAATAAAGACAGGATTAAGATTAGCGATTTTCCTCTGTTCCAAACTCCCATATGGTTCAGCATGGTATTGTAAAGGGAGTTTGGTGCCCTTGTGAAGAACCTTAGAAATGGATATGTAGCCAAGGATCTTCTTAGAGAGAAAGAGTGCTGGCTGGTTCTGTGGTTGTGAGCCCCAAGCCATTCAACAACAAGGATTGGTTTCATCTCTGCAAATACATGCGTATCATTTATTTAGTAGACCAGTGGTGGCAGAATGTGATATCTGATTGTCCAGGTCTAATGAATGCATGGAGCCCCTTAAAATAGAGACCACTTCCAGCCAAGCCCCCAGGGACTGAAATGATGTATTTCACTAACCACGAAAGCTGTCAGAGAGCATCACCTCAGCCCGTTGGTACTGATTAAAGATAATCAGGAATTTACATTTTAGGAAAGGAGTGGGTGGCTTTTAAACTTTGAATACTCTAGTGTCACTTGCTTAATACAAGAATTGACAGAAAAGAGTTTTCTGAAGTCATAGCTACCGCCCTAATTTAAGGCCAATTTGACATTAATTATGAGGCATTACTTGCTTATCTATTGCTCATTATTGCATATGGGGTTTTTGGCACATAAGAGAAATTGTTTCAAATTTGATTGAATGGATAGAAATTTGAATAAGTGAACATGCTGAATTGATATTATTTAAAACGGGTTGTTTATGCTGACTGGAAAACAGCATTATGAAAATTCAGAGCTTAATACTAAATGTGCTGACATTGACATCTTATTCAAAACAGAGTTTCTTAAGTTTACTATTTGGAGAAAAATGTAGCATATTTACAAATGTGGGTTCTTCCATGAAATTAAAAAAAATAGTGTGGTGTACAATGTCATTTTGACTAAAATCTCAGAGTATGCTTCAGAATAATAGCATGATTTCTTTGATTGCAGGTTCCTCCTTTAGATAGAAAAGATAACAGGAGCCTAAGCACTTGTCCCTGGCTATTGACCTCTCAGACTATATTTGTTCAGTAGTTACATCTTTTGGAAATTACTGTTTTAAATGCTTTGCTCCTTAATATGAACATATCTTAATCTTTTGAAGCCCTATATTTTCCAATACAGCTTATACAATGAAACTCAATACATCTCCACTTTGAAACTTGTCCAGAAAATGTTTGTGTATGTATGTGTGTGTGTGCACCCGCGCACGCGTATGGATCCTATGTATACTAGACCAGAGCCCTTAAAATTGCACAATAAACCAACACAGTGGTGGAAATGTTTTCACTGGAGAGGGTTCTGATTCTAAAATTATTAGTGTTTAGAAAGAAAACTATCTATTTGCCCAGCAGGAGCAATTACTTATTTTGGGAGGGTAGAAAATTGCTGATTTGTAATTTTGCTTTATTGTTTCTTCTGATATGTTGAATAAATTGCATTAAGGCGGATAACATGCAATTGTTACCTGTGGGTGTGCAGAAAAACAGAATGAAAGGCTTTAATCATGATGTTCAAATATGGCTTATCACAAATTATTTCTAAAGCAGGTCAGTATGTTGATAGGTTAGTATATTAATAATGTTATTCTCCCCTCTCTGAACCCCTGTTCCCAATATTATTTTCATTCTTTTCTTTTCTTTCCTCTAGTTTTAGTTCTAGGAATCATGCTTTTTGTGAGACTATGATAAGACTGCCAATTTTTCACATAGCACTATGCAAAGTCTTAAGATTAAGGTTGGCTCTTAGAATCTATGATTGTGCTACATCTCTTTCAGTTTACTGACCTTAAATAAATGATTTAATCTCTTGCATTTTTTGATCATAAATATAATTGCTTTTACCAGTATCTTTGCCAGCATATCTTTTTCTCCCTGTCAGACCACAACTTCATTTTATTTTTTCTGGTTACACATTGCCTTTTAAAATTAATTGTAGAACTGTTTGTATTACCCTCTTGATATTTAGTCTCTTTAACTTTCTTTCCTCTAAGGATTAATTTAGAAAATTTACTGTTAAGTTTTAAATTTCTCTTATTTTAGATTAGGTCTATGTTAACTACTCTCCCTCTAACTTTGTTCTTTCTATCTATCTATCTATCTATCTATCATCTATCTATCTATCTATCTATCTATCTATCATCTATCTATCTACCTATCTTTATCTATCTATCTTCTATCTATTTCAGCTTTGTATTTTAAAAGCAACTTGCCCATAGGCATTAATTTGTTTTGGTAGGAGTGGTTGAATCTGTCCTGGAGGGGAACACTCAACCCAGAATGAAATAACTTGTGTGTTGGCCTTGTCTTCTCACTAACTAGATCAGTGACATTAACCAAATGACATAATCTTGCTCATACCTGAAGACCCCATTAAAAAATGAGGAGGTTAGGCAGGTGTTTTTTAATTAATTTAGAGTTTATCTGGTCTACTTCTAACATTTTATGCTTCCAGTTTTTTTCCCTTAATTTTTCTGGAATGTGAGAATAAAGGACAGCTATGTGTGTATTACAACAGTTACTTTGCCCTCTTTCACAAGCAGATAAATAAATTTAGGCCCATTAGCTTACAATCTTTATTTAACTTGTAGTTTCTTCATATAAGAATAAATGCCCTGGAGTTTACTGGAAACGATACTGTTAAAAAGGCAAGAATCAGCATTTATAGCTCTGTAAATGTGAATAATTCAAGCTTTTACACAAGCAATCCATTTTCAAGCATCTGCTGACCGGTTAGTTAGACGATAGCAAAAAGGTGAAAGTCCAAGGCAGGGAAAATCAACCCACCCACCCATCAAGCAAGAAATCCCGAATGTCAGCAGCAGGCACAAGAACCCTGTAACAGGCCTTCTTTAAAAAGGTGTCACCACCTGCATCGTGAGGTACACAGATGCCTGAGGCAAACACGGATGCTGGGGGCAGTGCTGTGTCAAAGTCCCATACCTTGCAGCCTTCACACGTGATGACTCCGTAGTGGATCCCGGAGGACTTATCGCCACAAATTTTGCATGGTATCACTTCAATTTGTGCTGAAAAGGGAAAACAGACATTTTAGGCTCACAGTTTTCTTCTTACCTTCTACTTCCCTCTCTACCTCTCCCTGCCATGATGTTAGTGTTTAAAGACATTGGGGTGGGGGTGGGGGTGTGGTGTGAGGCCATCCACTACTATTTGAATGGCCCCCTTAAGCTTCTTCTAACTGAAAGAGGATCCATATTGTTTGCGTTTTTCTTAAAAAAAAAAAAAAAAATTAGAACCAGGGATCAGAAGTTTTGTAAACTCTTACCTTCACTGTTTTCTCCGTTATCAACTTGACCTTGAAATAATATGAGTCAAAAATCCCTGGGACCTAAGGTTTTCGTTTTCACTTCAAACATTGTCATTTTACACTTCAAACATTGTCAAGGAGCGCTATCACATTGCTTTATTTCAATAATTTTAAAATAGTTAAATAAAAGCAAAGCTAGAGTGGGTGGTGGTGACTTTATATAGAGTTGGCCAAAAAGTTCATTTAGATTTTTCTGTATGATGGCTCTAGTAGTGCTTAGTTGTCTTTAACTTCATTTGAAACAATTCTGTTAGAATGCATCATGGCAGCTGTCATTTCAGTGTGCTTTTTTAAAAAAACATCAAAATTGGTGACTTTTCATGCAGCCATTTTAATATTGAAGATGGAAGAAGATACACAACATTTTCAGCATATTATGCTTCATTACTTCCAGAAAGGTAAAAACACAACTGAAATGCAATAAAAGATTTGTGCAGTGTATGGAGAAGGTGCTATGACTGATTGTGTCAAAAGTGGTTTGCAAAGTTTCTTGGTACTATTGATATTTTGGCCAAATAATTCTTTGCTGTGGAGCTGTCTTATGCATCGGAGCACCCTACCCACTAGAAAGTCAATAATGGGAGATAGCAAACATACTCAAATTAGCCAAATCAATAAAGTTATTGGTGTAAATAAAAAATGTGTGTTTTATTTTATGGAAAAAAACTAAACAGCCTTTTGGATGACCAAATACATTATGTGGCTGAATGTTTACTTGTGAAAATACCAATGATAAATCAGTCAAATATTTATTGAGCATAGTCTGTACATCCACTAAAATAATAAATGTTGCTGACGTAAGATACAATATACTAATGACACCAATAATCTAGTTACTAAAACACAATTGATACATGAAGAAATCAGAGAAAAAAAATGATAAGGTGTGTGAGTACTAACTACGACTTCCACAGGATCTGAAATCGTTTCACTGGAAATGAAGACAGCTTGGTTGATTTTGAAGACTGTAGAATTTAGTTAGGCTGAAGAGAAAGCCAAAGGGCATTTCGGCAAGCAGAGTGGAATGAAGGAAGTCTGGAATGAAAGAAGGAAGTCTGGGATGATGTCGTTTGTGATCATTGAGACAATCAATGTGGCTCTAATGGAAACGTGGGCCATATGGTTAGAGAGAGGAAGTGATATCAGACTATAGAGCTGCTGAGAGTTAGGCAGAGGATTTTCAGCTGATACACTGGCTATGAGGAATCAAGGAAGTGAATTGGGGAAGAAATGATAAAACTGGTAGTTTGGGTACATTACAAAGGTGAGTTCAGAAGGCTAACCAGAAATACATAAAAGATCAACTAAAAGGCCATGCCTAACCTGGGTGTTAGAAGATGAAAGTATGAGTTACATTGGTAGGATAAATGGAGAGGAAGAGGCAAAGAGGAAGGCAGTTTAAAAGTAGGGCTGAGAAGATAAGTGATAGAAATGACGCAGAGGTACAAATTGAAGAAGATGGTGCCTTTAAGCTTTCTAGACCAGAGAAAGAGATTAAATAGTAGGGTTGACAACAATGGGGATGTTGGTAAGGCAACTTCTTTGTGAATTATGGTGGAAAACGGATTTCCATTTTGCATGTGTGTGATTTGGTGTGATGTCTCATAGGCACCTGTATATAGATCCTCTTGGGAAGATGATTTTAAATTATCAGCATCGACGTTATGGATGAATTCATGAGATAAACTTTACTTAGGTTTGTAGTATTATAATTCCTATGCCTCTGATAGTATTCTAAGTGTTGTTAAAATTATACACACTAGAAAGATTTGCTCTTCCCACTTTCAATTTAAAATATGCAAAATATGCTTCAAAATGCTTTGTATATCAGAGTGCCATTTGGATGCTTTTCTACAGTTTCCTAACCCTTAAATATATAAAACAAATAAATGCAAGACATAACCCTCTTTTTTATATTTTTCTACATTAAAAAAGATAAATAATACTTTGCTTTAGGAGCACAGTAATTTTTTGAAATTAAATATTTCATAGTAAGTTTAAATCATCTTTATCAGCAAAAAATTCAGTGTTATATTCTATGAGAAAACTGTAGGTTGAGGTGGTTACTAATGCCCTTGAGTTGACATGGGAGATGACAACCAGAAAGTAGCCAACTTTCCTAATACTTCAGTTAGTAGCCCTTTCTCTGCCTCCCACAAAGATAAAATATGAATACAACTTTGAATTCCTATGTTATCTTTTATTATCTCAGAAGCAGCAGCTATAGCGATAATAAAAAAATCAGAAGAGACAAAGTCAACTAAAATACTTATCAAACTATTTCTATTTGCTTCTATTCTTTTAGTTTTTAGATTACATTAACTAGTATTTGTTTTCAAGATTTTGACATGTGGAAAAAATGAGAGATTTGATGTCATTCTATTCTGTTCTCTCCTCCTTGATTCTGTGGCAAAGACAGAATCTCTGATCTTGTTTTCTGGTTTATGAAACTTAGCTGACAAATTTTATAGATTTGTGAGGATTAAATGAGGTATTTTATGTAGAAGTGCCTTGTAAAAAGACTTACAAAATGTCAGTCTTTGTCATCATCATCAGTATTGTTAACTGGTGTTTCTAATGCTTTTGGACAAGAAATAGAAACCATATTATTATTCCTTCATTGAAATTCTTATTTTAAAAATACCAAATGAATGAAACCATGTTTTTTTTTAAAGTGATAGACTTTCAAAGAGTAACTTCTTTGCAATGGTTACAAAATTGACTAACAATCCCAGGTATCCATGGTACAGTTTTTAGGCTTATATGGTATTAAGTGAGAGGGGCTCTTTGCATAAATTACTCCCCAGGGAGTAACTTATATGTGTGGAGAATCTGCTTCAATAAATTCTTAATTATAAAATGATCTAACTCTAAAGGAAATGAAAATAGAGGTAATTTGCCCCCTGGGATATGAGAAGATGTTTTTGAAAACCACAAAGGTTATCTCATAAACTTCAGAAATACAAATGAGATAAGAAATGATTCGATAGAGTATCTGCATATTTATACATATTTATAATCCTAGCTCAACATGTAATCCTGAAGAACCATAAACATTATAACAGTATTTTTAAAGAGAAAGGAACCACTCAAGAGTGTATATGTGTGTTGCTGTGTGTAGGAAGGGATTATTGGTTTGGAAAACCTATGGTCATTTTTACTTATTATGGCAGAATAAATCATCTGAGGTTTATTATAGATGAAAATAAACTTAAATAATTTAAAGTACTAATCCTTTTCTCTCATTTAAAACAAACTTCTTCTGCGTTACAACTTCTTAATTCATCCTATGTATTTTATAAAGCACATCTTCAAGATGGAGGATTTCAGACACTGATTAAGACAACAGGTCATGTGGCTGCTTTGATATTTGCCATTTCTAAATGTCTTGCCACTACATGATCCATAGTCTCTGGTGCAATTGCTTTGCCATGAATATAGATCTGGTGACACGTTATCTATCATAGTTTCAAACTGAACATCTAGTGAGGGTTTGGTGGCTTGGACCTTACCAGGTCTTACAACGATGATGTGATAAGGACACGGAGGAGAGAGTTCAACTTTCATACTTTTGCTTGACTCATGGATTAATTCAAAAATAGCATTTTCTGAGAGACAAACAGAGGAGCTGAAAGGCTCTGAGAGATGGCTTGCGATGTGCTCCTCGTTTCTCAGTTTTTTCATTTCTTTTATCTTCCTCTCACATGTATCTTTCTATTGGTAATCTTTTGTGAAAACTTTAGTTAAAAAGTTGTCGTGGCAGCTTTATCACAACAACGCTCCTGTTCATGCAGCATGTCTTGTGCAGAATTTTTATTTACCAATTACTTTTTTGGTTTATAAAACCAATCACATACAGTTTTTTTTGAAATAATATTCTTGCAATGTCAAAGAAAGTCACAAAACATTTAAAATTATTTGATGACAGTTTATGAAGTACAATTAATTTAATACTCTATTTTTTGGCAGGCAGGTCCTATTTAACAATTATAGACTATTCAAAATTTATCTCTTCTTTGAAGATGTCAGTTCTTTCCTCTCAGTAGCTCTTGAAGGCCTTTCTTTGCTTAGAGCTCTTTCCCATGACACAGAGCCACTATGTGTTAAATTCTTTTTGCTTATCAAAATGTATATGATCAGTTCAGAAAAGGTCCAACCATTGTTAATATAACATGACAAGTTTGTGTGACACTGATGTAACCTGGCAGCCAAGGAGAATGGATTGGAATGCGCATGTGTGAACAATGACCACTTCACTGTACTAGGCAGTGGGGGCAGTAGACACCACTGAGTGTGCATGTGTACTGTGTGGCTGTCACATTCAAAATGACTGAGCAAGTAGAGCAACAAATCTGCATCAAATTTTGTGTTATGCTTGAACATTCCTCTGTGGAAACTAGTCAGATGATTCAGAAGGCCACAGCTATGGGCAACTGGTGATCGGCAGCTTCATCATGACAATGTACCTGCTCATGCATCATGTCTGGTGCAGAGTTTTTTGACAAAACATTAAATCACTCAATCCCCCTAAAGCCCACATTTGGCACCCTGTGACTTCTGACCCTTCCCAAAATTAAAATTACCTTTGAAAAGGGAGAGATTTCAGACCATTAATAAGATTCAGCTGATGGCGATTGGGAGAACTGTGTGAGATGCCAAGGTGCCTACTTTGAAGGTGACTAAGGTGTCATTGTCCTATGT